TGAACACACAACAATAAACTCAGTGGGGAACCGTCAGTAAATTGCTCGGTAACACTAGCCAACGTTTAGTACCGAGAAGCAATAAGTGTTATCGATATATCAGCAAAATATGGCCAATAAGCAAAAAACCTCTCCAAATCAAATCATCTCGAACTATCGAGCTGGCGCTGCTATAATCCACTAGTGCTTAAGCACCGCCTCTGGCGGACAGGAGGAATGAAACAGAACTCAAGCCTTTATTTAGCGATCTTCATCTCTATCCTGAGCAGCAATACCCACACTAACACCCTCGTTACAAATTCAAAAACTGCAGCTTCAAGAAGCTTTACAGCAGATTTTATGGCAGTAAAATCGAATGCTCAATGGCTCTCATCTGCTTTATCACAGATTCTGACATGCCGTGTTTCTGGTCAGGTGTGTTTGAATGAGAAATGCGTTCCTTCACGGAGTGGATCGGGATAATAATCTGCATAATATTTTCAGCAAATAACAAATTAAATTCTGCTTCACCTCACACAAAACTATTGTACATGTGCATCTCAATAAATTAGAATGTCATGGAAAAGTTCTGTGCATCTTTTCTTCTACACTTTTTCCTTCCACTCAACTTTCTGTTAACATGCTTGGATACAGCACTCTGTGAACAGCCAGCTTCTTTGGCAATGAATGTTTGTGGCTTACCCTCCTTGTGAAGGGTGTCAATGATTGTCTTCTGGACAACTGTCAGATCAGCAGTCTTCCCCATGATTGTGTAGCCTAGTGAACCAAACTGAGAGACCATTTTGAAGGCTCAGGAAACCTTTGCAGGTGTTTTGAGTTGATTAGCTGATTGGCATGTCACCATATTTTAATTTGTTGAGATAGTGAATTGGTGGGTTTTTGTTAAATGTGAGCCAAAATCATCACAATTAAAAGAACCAAAGACTTAAACTACTTCAGTCTGTGTGCATTGAATTTATTTAATACACAAGTTTCACAATTTGAGTTGAATTACTGAAATAAATGAACTTTTCCACGACATTCTAATTTATTGAGATGCACCTGTATTCCATCAGAGAGGACTGCAACTGCAACGCATCATCATTTGGACTACTTTTGGTACCGCTTTTGACATTTTTGCTATAAATAAATTATTGTGATTGCACTTGTCTGTCTGTTATGCTGTACATATTTTTAAGAAATGGTTATGGTTAGGTTTAGAGGTAGGAGTGGAAATAGTGACTCAAAAAAGTATTTTTAATGCTATATTGTTACTAAACATAATTTCCCTGCATGTTTCGGTCTATTAAGTTTGAATTATTTTTAATTTTCGCTAAAAAAAGGTATGTTTATGGTTGGGGTTAGATTAAGGGGTCTAAAAATCTTAATCGTTTATCCATAAAATTATATATTTTTTTAAATGCATTGATGCACATATCTTAATGATATAAAAGATTTGTAAATATTACATCAGCATCAGTCAAAATGTACAAAAATGTACGTTTTGTGCTTGTAAACATTACGTACTAAACAATGAGACCAGGCAGATACATATATATATATATATATATATATATGTATCTGCCTGGTCTCATTGTTTAGTACGTAATGTTTACAAGGACAAAACGTACATCATATATTGGTAAGCTAATTTGATGTTTCATAGACCTTTATAAATAAATAAATAGCAGAGTGAGGTGCAACTGGTATGAAATACTGCATATAATAGTTTGCATATTGTATGTAAAACCCAGCTCACAGCTATTGAAAGGGATGAAAGGCACTGATGTCACAGAATCAGCTTTGATTCATACCCTAAATATGTTTCACAGATCCTCCATCACATTAGTCATTATCGAAAATGTCAGCTGGAATTTGGGCAAATCTGTGGGTGCCTGTTGACTCATGCATTAGCATTGTCCCTCTAAGGCTATATTTACACTGTAGTCTGTCTAGATGACTAAAAAACAACAACGCCTCACTGTGCCAATGACAATGTGCAAAACAGACAGAATTTTCTCAGAAAGCACGGGTCTTCTATGGACAGCATGCACGGCATGCTAGGAGACATTGAAAACTTACATTTAGCATTTTCACTACACAATATCATTGCGTGCGAATAATTATGACATGCTTGCTTGGAGACTACAAAACAACTTGTCTAATCATAACAATCCAACCATGCAAGCTAAACCTTAATGGAAAATACATGCAGATCTTGACTGTTAATCTCGGTCAGCAGTTATTACAGCATTGAAAACACCCAGACCCGCGAGACTGTCGCTATGCTAACTCCAGATTCCACAGCGAATGATAAAGGTTCAGCAAGCCACAGTCGTAGTGGCCTCCAGTTCTGAATCAGTGCTTTCAGACAAATATTACATCCTCCCTTTCAGACAAAGCTGTTAGAGGATGCAACCCAGTTAAAACTGCATTGTATTTCAATGTGTGGTCGTTTTCATGAACTGATAAAGCTGTGCAAACAGTCTAACACCATTTTCATTTCCCATGTGGCATTATAAATCTGCTATAATGTGCATGGCAAATGCCGAATTGTTCTTTACATGAATAATCAAGCCTGATGTCAGTATATGTGCAGTTCTGCTCACATACACTATCATGCCTCCTGTTTTCAAATGTGAACCCCTTGGGTGTAGCAAAAGCAAGCTAGAAATACATTTGAATGCAAAACTACCATAAAAGAAAGAAAAGGCTGTGCTGAGTTGTGCATACAAAAATACCCTACATATTTTGTTGTTGTTGTTGTTGTTTTAAATCAAGCAAATTTAATTAAATTACCATCACCATCATTTAATCACCAATATAGCTATTCAAGAATGTGAGATAAAAATTATGCATTTTCTTGTGGGTGCAGCAATTAGCATAAAGAAAAACTTACCTCTTAGAGTATTAATAATAATAATAATAATAAAAAGTTTACAGTAATAATTGATTGCTTCTGTTGTCCTCATTTGTAAGTCGCTTTAGATAAAAGCGTCTGATAAATGACTAAATCAATAAATAAATAAAAATACTAAAGTACTTCTGAATCATTTGCAACCCATAAGTTTGTAGTTAATTTATAGTTCATAAATTGTAGTCTCTACATAGTACATTAATAGTCTATATATAAATTGTGAGTTCTGCATTCATTGTCACTGTAATTTACAGTTTATTATTGTTTAATTAGCTTACTTGTAAATAGTTACATAATGTGTTTTTATCCTTTGTTTTTTAATTATTATATCTCATTGGGTCTCATGAGTATTTGTACTTTACATAATGTATATTTACTTACATATACACAAAAACATACAATATTTCTGTATTTATGTAATTATTGCACTGTACATTTTTCTGCCTATTACATGTTTTATAGATTTTATAAAAATGTTTTATATACCGTAGGAGTCGGCAATGCCTTAAATTCGCCTTACTAAACAACACACGTTTAGCGTGACTGCCCAAATTAGTCCAATTAAAAAATAAATGAAGTGTGTAACAAAGACTGCAATCTTGTGTTATTCCTGTCCCTGTTTTGATGTAAAGTAGATGTAAACGATTCCATCGACTCCTTCGGTGGGGGTCGACTCCGAAAAACCTGGAATCGAATACCCCTACTATGTCGCTGCTAAAAACATCAATAAGTTTGATTTAAAAAAAAAAGGTTAATTACATGAAAATAATTTAATTATAAAGTCTTACAATAATCATAATAATTATAAAAATATATTGGAAAGTGATGCATGAGGATAGTAGTAACTATTCCTTTAACACTATGCATGCATCATAACTTATGATTAAATGCATAATAACAATAATAATTACTATGATTGTTATTATAATTTTAACAATATACAAAATTTGTTATGCGACACCTTTATTTGACAAATAAATAAGTAAATAAATAAAATGCAATATTTTGTTGTAAATTAACTTTTCATTTGATGTCATTTTTAAAAGATTAAGCTGCCAAAAATTCAGATGTGAGCCCTTGGGTGTAGCAAAAGCACGTAGGAAATATATCGACCGCAAAACTACCATAAAAGAAAGTAAAAGCTGTCCTGAGTGGCATGTTTTGCATCTCATTCACACACGCAAAAAACACCCTACCATATTTTTTAATCAAGTGAAAAGAAGCACTGCATTTAATCACCAATGGCTATTCAAGAATGTGAGGTAACAATGATGAATTTTCTCGTGGGCGCAGCAATTAGCATAAAGAAAAAGTGATTCATTATGTTGTGGCGGAGCAATGGATTTTGTTTCAGGCCAGACACTTCTTGCAGCACGCAAAAGGCCAGCCATTACAAGTGAGCCCACTGACAGGGATTATGCACGGTGACATTTAGAGCACTGCAACGTTTCAGTGAGCCCCCTTTGCTACAGTTGCAAATAATCTGACTTCCACCCTCTGTAGGAGGTCACCGCACCGATACTGAAGTGCGAGGTTAATATCCTGCCCTGCTTACTGGTGCAGTGCAGTAAGCACTGTAATGCTTGGTAGGCTATATGCTGAGAATTAGACGTGCTACCGTAGCCACCCTCGAGAAGGTCTGCCTGTTGAAATCCCTCCTCATAAGATCGCAACCCGCACTGATTGGATGAAACCTGAAATGTGTTGCTAGGAGTCAACCTTTCTCCACAGCCGAAAGGACAGGCTCTGACCAGGGCTGTACTTGTAGCTGACGGGGCCACCATGGGCTGCTCTTCCCCTGAGAGAAGGCTCGAATCAATTAAAGATCATCATCTCTTATCCAATTGGCTGGATTGTATTGGTTCTGTGTGCTTAGTGCAGGGATGCTGCTGCTGCTGTGCATCAGAAAACATCAGACGTAGAACAGCTTTGCTGTGGTATGACTAATCAGACTCTGGTGTAAACAAAAGCCCATTTCAGGCGATCTGAGAACAGCAGGCCAAGTCTTTTACGATAGATTTGGCTTCTCCCTTTGCTCACTTTCTCTCTTTTATGGAGCTCTGTGAAATGGAGTGTTGCCAGAGGGAGAGGGAGAGATTCTTACTTGTGCATTTCTTAATGCCGGATCCCTTCTTCAAGGCATGGCGGCTGAGCTTGCAGTTGAAATTGTTCTCCCAGTATTCCGCAAACCAGATATTCCTCCGGTTGTTCTCGAGTGTGCGGCTGGTGAAGTAGCGATCAAAGCCTGAGGGTAGATCGATGAGATCTGTGTCACTTTAATGCGCTCTGTCAGAGTCAAAGCTCTCAGCCAATGAACTTCAGAAAGCAACATGATTTGACGGAACATTTGCATCTAACATCATTATTGTCTCACCGAGAATGTTCTATTTTGCTATGAATAGTTCACACAAAAATGAAAAATCTGTCACCATTTGCTCATTCTGATGTTAGTTCAAATGAGTTGATATTTTTTCTGTGAAACACAAAAGGAACATTTTTCAAGAACAGTTCATAGTTAGTTACCACAGCAGTCAAGCTCCAAAAAGGACCATAAAGTCTGAACTGAAAAAAAAAAAAGTAAGACACACAAATAGGACTGGACGATAAATTGGTATTTATCAGAAAAAAAATAAACGCACAATATTGATACTTAGCACCACTCACCTGATCGTCTAGATCTAGGCTAAATCTGCATGTTCTGTGTGTCTCTGTGTGAGCGAGCGGTGCAGTTTCATCCGCTACACTCTTAAAAATAAAGGTGCTTCACGATGCCATAGAAGAACTTTTTTGTCTAAATGGTTCCATAAAGAACCTTTAACATCTGAAGAACCTTTTTGTTTGACAAAAGGTTCTTTGTGGCGAAAGAAGGTTCTTCAGATTACAAAAAGGTAAGAAAGAGGTGGTTCTTTAAAGAACCTTTGACTGAATGGTTCTTTGTGGAACCAAAAATGGTTCTTCTATGGCATCGCTTGAGGAACCTTTTGAAGCACATTTATTTTTAAGAGTGTACATATTCTCAAGCATGCATGATGCTCATGGTGTTTTCAGCATCTTCTGTTTCACTATGTGAAAACACTCCACATGAACTTCATCTCCAGAGCTGCTCTGAGAGTTCACTTCATGACCGTTTCATTTTATAAAAGCTATCGGCAAATGCACACTGAAACTCCACAACAATCTTCCAAAATAAAAGTCTGGTTTAACAAAGAAATGTACATAAATTGCATTAGTTACACTATAATATATTACTATTGTATAGTAAAATGTAATTCTTAGAGTAATAATAATAATAATATGTATAATGTTTTCAATTATTATTATTTTTTTTTCTATGTTGCAAGATTTAACATAATACAAAATCTAACAATTTACAACAAAACATTGCATTTTTGTCAAATATACTGTTTGAATAAAAAAACTTATCTTTGTTGTATTCCTAATAATAATAATAATAATGTGTAATGTTTAAATAAATTTTATTATTATCATTATTATTACACGAAGATATTGTGCAGCACATTACTTAGAAAAAATAAAAAATGCAATGTTTTATTTTTATTTTTTTATTGATTTACATTATACAACATAGAATAGACAAACAGTTTTGGGGGGAATCAGATTTCACAGGCTCTAAAATAAAAGTTAGCGTATAGTCTGTAGAGTTTACTTGTAAAAACAAAAAAAAGCCTTTACATGGCTTAGGAAGACTTGGAATAAAGGCCCACTGACCACTTATACTGAGCTTTTTTGGAACTGTGCGTTTTTAAGAATTTAACAGACTTGTCTGCATAAAGATACTACAAAGACGTCTTTTTGTGTTCCACTGAAGAAAGAAAATCATGTATTTAGAGGATTTTTTTTTGTTTTTGAGTGAACTATTCCTTTAACACTATGCATGCACCATAACTTGTTATGCTTATTAAATGCATCACCAGTAGCTAAAGTGTTGTCAGAAAACATTAAGCACACACTCTGGTTCAGAACTGGTCTCTAATGGATGAGAGCAACCACTGACAAGCGGAGGATTTAATCTGTCACTTGCCTCTAATGTTCTGTCGTTTGGGTAGGATGGTGACAGCTCCCTCAGCCATTTCCTCCTGGTGAAGCACAGGCGATATCTTCGAGCCCCAGCTATCTGACCCCACCCACAGGAAGTCATAAAGATACTACAAAGACGTCTTTTTGTGTTCCACTGAAGAAAGAAAATCATGTATTTAGAGGATTTTTTTTTGTTTTTGAGTGAACTATTCCTTTAACACTATGCATGCACCATAACTTGTTATGCTTATTAAATGCATCACCAGTAGCTAAAGTGTTGTCAGAAAACATTAAGCACACACTCTGGTTCAGAACTGGTCTCTAATGGATGAGAGCAACCACTGACAAGCGGAGGATTTAATCTGTCACTTGCCTCTAATGTTCTGTCGTTTGGGTAGGATGGTGACAGCTCCCTCAGCCATTTCCTCCTGGTGAAGCACAGGCGATATCTTCGAGCCCCAGCTATCTGACCCCACCCACAGGAAGTGACCCGTCTGATTGGCTTTTTTTGCCGCCTGCAGTAGCCGCCTGTTAAAAGATGAGCGGCAGTTTCCATAAAATGTTGAATATAGGCTTTGCTCTCTGAGTCACATCAACTCTAATTACTTGTTTGCAATTATTGTCTACTTTCTGTAGTGCTTTGGTGATTCTCCAGTTACAGTAACTACAAATCAATATGTTATTGAAAGGTCAGTATTGACACTGCTCAGCGCTGAAATTTCTAAGCATTCTCCATCAGGCACGGTAGCAATTGATGTCAAAATTAGTCATGCACAACTGACAGCAAAAGCATTTCCCCAAGATAATAATGGCTCAATAAAGTATGTTTCAGGCAGCGCACACAAAATCATTTTCTGTCTTTTAAACAGAAACAGACTTAAAGCGTCTTTGCACACAGTGTCTATCCGTAAGCCGTGGAATGCATTTTATGGGCTTATATGCCAGTAACTTATCAATATTTTTAATAACTGCATAAAAATTCGCCCACATCTCTGGCAGCTACGCCCTCGCTGCAATTTATTTACCTACATTAAACATGAAACAGCATTCACAACTCATTTTACTTGCAAAATGAAGCATTAACTAACAAAAAAATCCGAAAACAATGTGTAAATAGCTATTTGGATATTGATTAATATTAATCAACAATCTGCATTGTCAAGGTGCCATTAGTTGAATAGGAAACAAGTTATTACATTCTGATGAACGATATCTTTGGAATGTCATGCACAATAAAACCAAGAATGTGTATAAAGTACAAAGGGTCAATTTTGATTTCATATTCATGTTTATGAAGACTTTTTTCAATACTTTCTGAATTACAGGTGCATCGATGTGAACATAGATAAACAAGCCATAAACTCAAGGACAACGGCTGACAAACAATAATTAGAGAAGCATGATTAAACAGTCATCCTGAACGCTTAAGCAAGCAACAAATTGAAAAAGTTTGACCATAATTATTCCTTCAAATTAAAACGATTATTATTCAATGGATGTCTAATAGCACATTTAAGTGAAGGCTTTTTGTCAGTTTCCTGAGAACAGCTGGGTTCTAATAGTTCTGATTAGGTACTCCAGGTGCTCAGTGCTGGGGCGTTTTAGACATTCCCATGGGGCAAATTAAACATGTTATAATAGAGGTCAGGGAAATGAGTTTTTCACCACCCTGCAAAGTCCTTCTTGTGTATTTCAGATGCTATTTTAGAAAGCAATACCCATTTTAATGTTTGTTTTATAAACTTTGTAACTCTGCACAAATTAATTAATAGCAGAAATGAGTTTAACTGTTTTATCATATAGCTACAATAAAAGAACTTATGATTTCCAAAAAAAAAAATGATAATAGATGCCAATTTAAAAACAACAAAATATACTCACCTTATATCATCCTCGTTTGCAAATATAATAACAACCCTTGCATTCGGATTTTCTCCCAGTCTCTGAATTATCTTATCAAACTCCCCTGGTTTCGGCTCACGGGGGATTTTCACAGACTGTGAGATACACACACTTCCTGCAGAGAGAAAAAAAAGAGAAAAGGTGGCATTATTATTAGTTGCAAAATATGGAATCACACTTTGAAAGATTCCCCACTGAACAGCTTATTATGAGTAGTCCTGTCCAAACTCATGGCACTGGTTGAGGGAGACGTTGCTATGTTTGGCAGCTCAAATATATGCTGTAAAAATAGGCAACTGTTATCATAAGGAGCTATTTCTACCTCATCTGACCTTTAGAAATGACTTTTGTTGGCGTGACCTATTGTATTCGGGTCTATTCAGATATATTAAATCATATGTTTGACTTGAATAAATCCAGTTACCACACGAAGCACATTTTTAGGTTACCTGACAAAACATTTTTTACAGTGCACTCGAACAGAACAATGTTTTAAATTGTTTTAAACCACAGAGCCACAGTGTTTATACACTACGTTGAAGTCAAGTGGCTTGCTTTATCCTTATCGTTTTCTCTGCACGGTCGACTGAGATCAATAGCTAGAACAAGAAAAAACAAAAAAATATTATACTAAGTATATGCTTTCCTGTAGTAGAACCCAATAAAAGTTACATATATCTGATGCATGCATGATATATGTATATATATATCTAAATATGTATTTCATTTTTTGACTGATCAAAAACCCTGTGTAGCTCAAACAGTAAAGCACGATGAGAACGCATAAAACTGATGAAAAAAAATTCTAAATGCAATGCAATTTGCTGTGAATAAAAGCATTGCCAAATATGTAAATATGTTTTATATATGTTGTTGTTTCCCTCTCTGTAAAAAACATAAAAGGATGCCATCATTGGTAATTATGCTGTTTTGGTCATGTCATATCTTGCCTCGGGCATCTGAATTCTCTCTTCTCTGGCATCTGGCTTCTCTCACCTCCAAAATCCCACTTTACAACTAGTACCTTCAATGAGTCCTGAATAGCAAAAAAGGAAAATCAAATGAATATGATGTGTTTTCCATCTTAACGGTAGAAAAATCTGGATGTTCTACAGAGAAACTTCATTGTTTAGCTTTGGAACCCCAATGTGTTAAAGTTTTGCTCTGCTGGGTCCTTAAATTGCATCAGTTCTCATTATCAGTTTTTTGTTTTGTTATCATGTACTTTACTGTATGTTTAACAAATGCCCTAACTCTTTTGTTGTAATCTTTTGTTGTAGAAAGTCGCATCTTTGAAAACTCCAACAGTTACATATCTATCTTCCTTTCACAGATGCCTTGAATTAACCTCCTGTCATATCAGCAAATAGTCATATGCAGAATAACTGCAAAAAAATTGCATAATAATAAGCTCATTAAACTTCTCACATCCTTTCCGAGAAAACACAGAGCCCTTGTAAACTTCCACACAAATCGATGGTTGCCGTTCCAAGGAGAGGGCGTTTTCAAAAGCGTTTGACCTGTCCTCGCTGAGAGAGGAACACTGATTTGCATCAAAGGCGTTAATTAGACAGAAAAGAGAACCCTCAAAGATGCCATATGGAGAGGCTTCCTAACGGCGGGAGTCTTGCAGTCAGTTGCAGCCCTCTGCTGTGTGCATATGTTACTCTGAGTCAGGAGATATTTTGAATGACTGAAGGCCTCAAGGTAGGAACTCCACATGTCACTGAATGAGACAGCTATGTAGCGGACAAAGTCACAGTGACTTGGGTGGGTGTGTATGCAACTATTTTCGTTTTTAATGTATTTCACAGTAGTTACAAAAATGTAAATCGTTTGTTAAATTGCGGCTACTACCAAACAGAATTGCAAAAATAAATACAGACAGACAGATGAAAATGAAAACTGCAAAAAATAATTATTGCTTCCAAACAGGTTTCCCAAACCCTTCCATTTGCCACTGGTCACCCTTTCCCAAACTCACACCATTGGTTGCTGTGTCAGTCCGATTCTGGTCTTCAAGCTGTTGTAATAGAATTCTATGTTAATCAAATTTAGCATATTTATTTTAATAGGAATAAATGGCATGGTAAAATTAACAAATGGTGTTTTGATGCATTCCTTTATGCAGGTCTTGTGCAAATTGACCAAAATATGCACAAGCATTTCCAGAGTGGTCATATTTGATGCTTAATCAAAAATAATGAACAGCAGGAGGGGTGATCTGAGAACAGATGGGTACTGATAAGATGGAGGAACTGACTGAGTTATAAGAGTTCTTTGTGTGGGTAGGTCAGTTTCTATTTTATTTACTTCTTTTTTGGAACCAACATCCAGATTTTTGAAAGGCGCTCTTTCTGTCTGCTGTGTCCATAGAAACAAATGGCATGTACAGTATATTAAGAAACCTCCAATAAAGTAGAAGTAATAATAATTTGATAGTGTAATTAGAGATAAAATGTTCTTTAGAATGGGAATCTTTATTAGACCCAGGGGTCAAGGTTTGACTGGTTAACATCACCCAATTAGCCCCTGCTGGCAGATGCTATGACTACACCATCAAGACTAAAAAAGGAATAATTCTCCATGATGGCAATTGATAAAATTAAATAAAATAAATGTATTTTGTAAACTTATTGTTGCCAACATAAATACAACAGGACAGGAAAACTGCATGTCAAACCATTTTTATAGGGTCTTTAGGGAAATATACATGAAAAAAGAGCCATGACCTAATGTTGTGAGAAGGTTCTAATAATAATAGCAATGACACATTCAGAGTCAAGCCCTGAGTGAGCCCAAAGTGACAGGATGTCAGAAGTTGATCCTCTGATTTGTGGCAGAGTCAATTATCCTTTCCAGACACATTGTGAAAAAAAGCTAAAGAGAAGATACTAACAAAGCATCCATTTTAGCCTGTCTTCAGTAACAATTAAAGGGACAGTTCACCCAAAACATAAATATTCTGTCATCATTTACTCTCCCTCATGTCATTTGAAATCTGTATGACTGTCTATCTTCTGTGGAACAAAAAAATAATTCGGAACAATGTTCTGGTGACTGTGTTCTATTCAATTATAATAAATAGGGACTGAAGCTTCAAGGACAGGAAATCACCCTAAAGGTATAATAAAATTGGTCTATATGAGTCGTGCGCTATATTCAAAATCTTTTGAAGCCTTTGTGTGAGAAACAGACTGAAATGAAAGTTCTCATTCACTGAAAGTCTCATTAAAAATGAGCAAATGACAAAAAAATTAATTTCTTCATGAACCATTTATTTAAATAGCACATTTCCAGTAATAAATGTTTTATATTATTGCAATTTCTATTTTCACTTGTGAAAAGGAAGCTGATCCATTATTCTACACATTTCTGAAGTAGCACACAATGGAGGAAAACAAATGTTTGTCTTCTTTCTTGAAGCAAAAGTTTTGGCTTTGGATTTGAGACTTTATGCCTCTGTCTGGGTTTACCATGTTTGATTTAAAAGGGACGACAGCATCGCATTTTCACGAGTGAGTGGATGTCTGTCATGTATTCCTCAAGAACTCCCACAGACTTCAACATGATAAAGAACCCTAGCAATCCACAGCATCAACTGGGATATCTAACTTAAGACATACATTTCAAAAATCCCTTTTAGCAAGGCACTTTTATCTACAGAAATCTGTACTGCATTTGCACCTCGCCCAGAATCAGGCATGCACGGTTTTTGAGAGAAGCCTGTTGGAGAGGAATCACAAAGTAGAGAAAACGTCAGACTGAATCTTGTATGCTATATATAATAATCTACATGTTTGTCTCCAGTAATTATAAATGTTATCATTTTTGATCCATTATTACAAAGCCTTAGGTAACTCACCATATGACTAACCTCCCACTTGATTAGATTTACCAGGGCCTCCGAGGTTTCTATTTGGATCTCCACATGGAATCAATTACAGCAGGCAAATCTTATTTATCAAATATTGGAGATTTATGTATGCTGAGAGCAGCGTAGGCTGTTTACTTTGCTATTGTGCCATGCTGCAGCTGAAGATTGCTCATCACTCAGCGGTGGCCCAAGTCAACTCCACGGTACCACTGGGCGACCATTTTCCATGGTGATGTATGCTAGTGGCAGTCACCTTTCAAAACTCACCAAATCTATTCCTTAATTTCAGAATTCAACCCTTCAAGGTCCCTCAGCAGCAGGCACATTATAAATTTGGCCCATTACTGGAACCCAGAAGATGTTGAAAATATCGAATGAGGTTCTGCTTGAAGGAGAGTCAACAAAGAGAACCGGTGCAGTATGTTTCCCTCAATGCCTCAGATGATATTTTGCGGTAGACTTCTTATCGCACACAAACTTGTTCAATTTGATTATCGCGAACCTACTGTGGTATTAGATAACACACTTGGTTACAGACATTACAAGCAAATAACTGATATCGATACAGGGTTAAGATGTCACAAAGCCCTCCTTTGAAAACGCCATGAAAGACAGAGGAGAAAAACAGTGAGGCGTTTCACAGACATAGTGTTTTTCAGCTTTTTCCCTCGAGGCAGGACTGAATTGAATCATGTGTTGGTCGGGGCAGGAACACACACACACACAACTTTGCTATTGTGCCATGCTGCAGCTGAAGATTGCTCATCACTCAGCGGTGGCCCAAGTCAACTCCACGGTACCACTGGGCGACCATTTTCCATGGTGATGTATGCTAGTGGCAGTCACCTTTCAAAACTCACCAAATCTATTCCTTAATTTCAGAATTCAACCCTTCAAGGTCCCTCAGCAGCAGGCACATTATAAATTTGGCCCATTACTGGAACCCAGAAGATGTTGAAAATATCGAATGAGGTTCTGCTTGAAGGAGAGTCAACAAAGAGAACCGGTGCAGCATGTTTTCCTCAATGCCTCGGATGATCATTTGCGGTAGAGTACTTATCGCACGCAAACTTGTTCAATTTGATTACCGCGAACCTACTGCGGTATTAGATAACACACACTCGGTTAGAGACATTACAAGCAAATAACTGATATCGATACAGGGTTAAGATGTCACGAAGCCCTCGTTTGAAAACGCCATGAAAGACAGAGGAGAAAAACAGTGAGGCGTTTCACAA